TACCCCCAGGGTTCGAAGGTAACCCTGTGACGAAGTCCATGGTTACTTGCTGCCAGGCGCGTTCGGGCGGTGGGATCGGCTGCAATTGACCCGCCTTCCGCTTCCTTGAACTCTTCATCACCTGACACGTCGGGCACGAGCCCACGTGCTGCTGTACGTCGGTCAACAGCTCCGGCCAGTAATAGTACCGCTGCAGTTGCTGTCGTGTTTTTTCTACCCCGAAATGTCCCGAGGTAATCCCGTCGTGTGCCTCCTGCAGCAGCAGCTCCCTCAGTAGCGAGTACGCGGGTACCCAAATGCGGTTGGTGCCTGTTTTTACGTAATAAACTCCTTTTGCTTCTGCCAGTTGCTGTGAATTTCCGGTCGTGAAAAATGGGTCGGTGCGGTATCCGTGGGTGAATAGGCCAGTTAAAAGCGGGTTGGTCTGGGCGAGTAGGATGGCGTGGAGTTGGGCGGTGGGGCGGGTGAGAGCGTCGGCGATGTTGGATGCTCCTTTTTTGTACGTGACGGTGTAGTGAAAATTGGACTCGAGATAGTCCAACCAGCGAATCTGTCGTGGGTTGAGATTCGGTTGGGCGCGAAGGTACTGTAGCGAGCGGTGGTCTGTCCGTACTGTCACGTCGGCACCAGTCAGGTAACATCGCCAAACTTTGAACGCGTGCACGATCGCTAGCATCTCGCGGTCGTGTATCGGGTAGTTACGTTCGGGCGGGTGTAACTTGCGGGACTCGTACGCGATTGGCTGGAGGCCATTCCCGAAATCCTGCAACAGTACTGCTCCCACAGCGATGTCACTTGCGTCGGTGACGAGCTCGAACGGACGGTGGGGATCTGCAATGTGAAGGACGGGCGGGGAGCACAAAATATTTTTGAGGGCCGAGAAGGCAGCTTGCTCTTTCTCCCCCCACGTGTACTCAACCCCCTTCCTCAGCAGGTCAGTCAACGGGGCAGTCAGTTTCGCCATGTCGGGGACGAACCGGCGCACGTAGTTGACGAACCCCAGGAAACTCTGCAACTCGGTCAAGTTGGTCGGCGCGTGCCAAGCCTGAATCGTCGCAATTTTCTTCGGGTCTATTTCCACTCCTGCAGCTGAAATAACATGTCCCAAAAACTCCAGGCGGTCCTGTAAAAACTCACACTTAGATGCTTTGGTCAGTAGGCGGTTCTCACTCAGGATTTTAAAAACTGCTTCGATGTCTTGTAAGTGCTGTGCTCTGTCAGGGTTGTAAATCAGTATGTCGTCCAGATAAACGATGACGCACTTATCTAAAAGCGGGCGGAATGCTTCGTTCATGGTCATTTGGAAAGTGGCGGGGGCGTTGGTCAGTCCGAATGGCATGACGGTGTATTCGAAGGATCCGTAGCGTGTTCGGAATGCGGTTTTAGGGCAGTCGGGTGGGTTGACGCGGATTTGGTGGTAGCCTCCTCGGAGGTCGATTTTCGAGAAAACCCGGGCTGTGCGCAGTTGGTCGATCAGTTCGTCGGCTCGTGGGATGGGGTAACGGGATTTGATGGTAACCCTGTTCAGTGCCCTGTAGTCGATGCACATGCGAAAACCCCCGTCTTTTTTCGGTGTGAACAGTATTGGTGCGGCGAAAGGCGACGAACTAGGGCGAATGAATTCCTTTTCTAGCAGGTAATCGAGCTGCTTCCTTAGTTCGTCTAGTTCGGGTTGGGTCAGTCGGAACTGTCGCTGTACTGTTGGCTGTGCCCCCGGTTCCAGTTCTATCCTGTGATCGTGCGGTCGCTGAGGTGGCAGTCCCGTCGGCAGGTCATCCGGGAAAATGTCACTGTACTGTTGTAACAGTGCCGCCAGGTCACTCGGTACGTCGGTCAGCAGTTTCTGTAAATCGCCTCCCTTGTCTGCTGCCTCGGCTTCCCGAATGTCAACCGCGTACACGTCGGCTCCGGCCGCCACAGCGCGTTTCATCGTGATCGCGTTGACACGCACCGACGAAGACTCAGGCGAGCCCCAGCGAGGTAAGGCGATGCTGTTACCGTTCACTCGCACGGTGCAGTCACCCGTCGTCCAGTCAATTCGCGGGTTGTGTCGTCGCAGCCAATCACGCCCGAGTAAAATGTCGGTTCCGTCGAGGGTCGTTGCGAGCATTTCCTGACTAAACGTGAAGTTACCCCCGCATCGAATCCGAACTCGGTCTACGCGTTCCCGTATTGCCAGCGGCGTGCCGTCTACCAGTCGTGCGTCGATCTCAGGTAAGCATCGGTCCAGTGGCAGTCGCAGTTTTCGTGCTGTAGCAGTGTTAATGAGGCTGTGGCTGGCTCCCCCATCTACGAAGATTTTAACTAAGTCCGTCCCAATTTTCCCACTGAGCAGTATAGGGCTATCTACCGTGGTACCCTCCTTATTCGGCCGGGTGTGGTCGATTGCGTGAACCGGCACAATCACTCGGTGAGGGTCGGTTGGGTCGGGCGAGCGGCGTGACCTGTCAGTAGAGGGCCCGTCTGCTACTGACTTCCAGCGTTTCCCTGCTGCTTGGTCTGTGTCTGCTGCTCAGCTTCCCCCTTTCCCTTAGCGTTTTCCGGGCATTCGCTCTTGCGATGTCCCGGCCGATTGCACGCAAAGCAGCGCCCTTTGAACGGTGCGGCAGCGGCATTTGCGGCGACGGCGCGTATCGTGGCGCTCTCGTTCGTCCCACGAGGCCGATGTCCCCAGGTGTTGTTTCCGTAGGACCCCGGTCTCGGTCGGCGAAAGAAGTCGAGCTTCTCCGCCATAGCGAGAATTTCCTGAAACTCAGTGACGCCGCGAAGCTGGATTTCCTGAGCGATGTCCTGCTTCAGGCCGCCGATGTAGCGGTCGATGCGTTCGCTCTCATGCATGTAGCCCACCTGCTCGCATAGCGCCATAAATCCGCTCGTGTAATCCTGGACGGAACCGAGTTGGCGCCAAGTGCGGAGCTTCTGTCGCGCCGAGATCGAGGCCGCGATTGGCTCAAATCGAGCGCGCAGACCTGCGCACCACGCGTCCCACGTGCGATACTGGGGCACCTCCACGAAATACGACGGCGCCCAGGGTCCGGTTTGTCCTTCCCGTGTCGGTAGTGTCGCGTAGTCGGTCGGCTTCGTGACGATGACGCGCCACCAGTCCATGGCGGGTCCTCGCAGCAACGACACGGCGTATCGAATCTTCGCCGAGTCCTCCGAGACGTAGTTGGCGTCGAAGAAAACATTCATTGTGAATAACCACGCCTGAACGGTAGGACCACCCCGTTGACTCGGGTCAAAGCATGGCGGGCGCTGCGGTTTCAGCGGCATCGGTGACGGCAGTCCCGAATCGTGGGTTGGTGCCGAAATCGTGACGCGAGGCTGACTTGGGGCCGCAGGCGTCGCTCTGGGGTGTGTCGTGCCGTGGTCGTCGTCTCCGTCGGGGCGGACGACGCCATCACTGGCCGCGCTCGCGGGTTGCCCCACACTCCCGTGTTGTGATGTTGAGGGTGCAGGTTGAATCGGAGTGCCAGGTGCTTGGGATTGTGCTCTCATGAGGTCATTTTGCAGTGATGAGCGTTCTGCCGTCAATGCCGCGATTTCCTCGGAGCTTTCGTGCAGTTGTCGCAGCAGATCGTTCAAACGCTCCTGCGTGAGAGTGGTGACGTCGATGTTTTCGGCCATGACGAAGGGCGTCGGCTCGTCTTAGTCTAGGCGCAGTCGTGGCTGCACGCGTTTACGAGAGAACGCGAGGACAGCGGCTCCTAGGGGCTAAGGTGCGTGAGTCCCTTCGAGTGAAAAATCAAAAGTTGATTTCCTGGTGTGCGGAGATGCGCGGTCCGAAAGAAAGGGGCTCTGATAACCAAGTGTTACGGGTGCAATGAATCGAGGTAGCGAGAATTGCACTAAGGTGTCAAACGAGTACAAAATGTGAGCGAAGGCATGAGCGAGCATTTATACGCGAAACATGCAAAACGGTAACGCGGCGCGTGCGAACTTGCTAGTGCTACGCTGGAGCGAGGCTCGGGCTAGTCCCGAAGCGTAGGCCGATACGGCCATGCCAGCAGTGCGAGGTTTGGCAAAACAGTGCGCGCGAAGTCGGCGAAGTTCCGTTAGCAGTAACGGGCGAACAGTCGGCTGTTGCTGTACGCGATGTAGTCGGCTCCGTAAGGAATGCCTGAGAAAATTCCTTACACCCCGCAGGAATGCACCCTAACATGTTTCGATTTCAGACGAAACATATATTACATTTCTGATGAATCAGATGAAGACAAAAAATCATTTGTACTCAATCAGATGAAAAAAAAAAAAAAAATCATTCCTTGAAAATCAGATTAACTGGAAAAAAAATCGTCTGTAAACTAAGACAAACAGACAAAAATGTCTGATGTCGAGGACCCTGGTGGTGGCGCTGGTGGAAGGAAAGAGGTTGGTGCAGTTGTGACGGGTGTGAGTACTTGTGAGTACGTGGGCTGTGGTTCAGATCAGAGGTGTCCCATTGTGAATTGGCTGGGTTGGAATGGAAGGAGAAAGTGGAGTACTTTTCTGTGCTGTAAGTATATGTACTGAATGTCCTAAGGATGGAAGTGAAGTTAAGTTTATTATTGGCTATATTCTCGTGCTGTTTGTCTGAACTGAATTGTTCAAGGGGATGCACTTTACTTAACAGCATCTATTACCTATGGTACTACATAACAGCAAGGAACAAATCCACATACGCTTTTAGTGTCACACACACGCGCACCGCACTGCACAGTAACAAGCCTACCTGTAGCAATTACACACAAAAGTAAGTTCAAAACATACATGATAGCTCACGAGCTATGAAGCATAACATGATTTTTTAGCCTCTTGACCAACTACAGAGTTTTCTCAAATCGCATTCCCGTTCCCTTTGTTTCAACGCTAACATCCCGCATCCCACTCATCTTAGGTACTAGGTAGTACTGTAACCCTCCATCTTCTCCTCCCAACTCCCTTTCCTCTTTCCCTTCCCCAACCCCCCAACAACACCCCCTCCCCTCTTCCTCCCCCCCACTTTCTCCCCCCTCCCCCTCTCACCACAGCACTTCAGCCCCATCCTCCTCCCCCAATCTCCTCCCAGCATCCTCCAACGCCCCCACCACTCTCCCCACCTTGGCCAGCGCACTCGCAACCAGCAGCTGAGAAGCCACGATCCCAGATCCTAACCCCACACCGATGAACATCGCTGCACGCGGGCGGTAGAAGGAGAGACCGAGTAGGCCTGCTGCAATCACCAGCGGCCCGAGCTTCGGAGGAGAGGGAAACTCGGAGAAGTCGGGACGGCCGTTGGGTTTCACGGGAGGGGTTGCTTCGGCCGCGGTTCGGAAGGAATCGGTTATCGGGAAGGCGGAAGGGGGCTCGTCGGGAATGGTTGCGTTGTCGGGGGAGGAAGAAGAGGAGGAGGAGGAGGAGGAGGAGAAGGAGGGGAGATCGGGGGAGATTTGTCGGGAGATGCTTGGGGGGAGGAGGTAGGAGATGACTTCCATGCGAGAGGAGGGTGTGAGAGCGTCGTTCCAGCGGTGCGTGATGCCGGGGATGTGGCCCGCTCCCACCACTGCTACTGTCGGGCCGATCGCCGTGCACTTGCGGATGTTCTGAAGGCAGGGGAGTGGAGGAAGAAAGGAAGTGAGGAAGAGAGGAGGGTGTGAGAGCGTCGTTCCAGTGGTGCGTGATGCCGGGGATATGGCCCGCTCCCACCACTGCTACTGTCGGACCGATTGCCGTGCACTTGCGGATGTTCTGACAAGAGGGCAGAGGAGGGAGACAGGAAGAGGGAGAAGGAAAGGAGAAGTGAGATGTTGGAGTTGACTCACTCGCAAACAATCATCAAGAGTATAACGAGTTCATCACAAAACTAACAAGAGGCGTGCGGCAGAACATAGATGGCAGGAAGCAGTTCTGGCAGGAAGCATCGATGACACCTGGGCGAGAATCAGGTCCCTTTCAGCCACGATGGCAGGAAGCAGTTCTGTATCAATGACACTCCTCACAACCTTTTCCATCGAAACCCTCTCCCTCTCATGCCACCTGAAACACACTGCCCTCCCTGCTCCGGCTGTTCCGACTGCTCTGAGTACTATGGCTTATCATAACGTTCTGACACCCTCACTGGGACCCTGCTGCCCCAACCTCTCCAACGCTCCCTCGTAAACCAACCTCACCTTGAGGCGCCCTGAACGAAAGAAACAAGGGGCGTACCTGGGCGAGAATCAGGTCCCTCTCCGCGACAATGGCAGGAGGCAGGTCTGTGTCAATAGCACTCCTCACCACCGCTTCCATGGGCACCCGCTCCCTCACATGTCGCCTGGGACACCACGGGCTGCCACCGCCCTGCCTGCTGCTCTGATTGCTCTGGCTTGTCTAGCGCGCGCCAAGAGTACAACAACAGGCATTACTGGAACACCACGGGCTCACACTGCCCACTCAAGAGCCAACTCAATACATACCTGGGCGAGAATCAAGTCCCTCTCGGCGACGATGGCAGGAGGCAGGTCCGTGTCTGTGGCAGTCTTAACCACCGCTTCCATGGGTACCCGCTCCCTCACATGCCTCCTGGGACACCACGGGCTCACACCGCCCTGCCTGCTGCTCTGTCTTGTCTGGGATTCTCCCTGCGGCCCTGCTGATCCACCCTCTCCGATGCTCCCGCCAGCAGGAGTAGAGAGAGGAGAGGGAGGGGTGAAGGCGGCGGCGGCGGCGGGGGGCAGGAGCGAGTGGTGGATGGCGGAGTGGCGGAAGGTTTCGACCACGCGGCGGCCGCAGGAACGCACACGACGAAAGTCGTCGAGAGGGATCTCCTTGCCTGGAGAGGGGAGAGAGAGAGAGAGAGAGAGAGAGAGAGAGAGAGAGAGAGAGAGAGAGAGAGAGAGAGAGAGAGAGAGAGAGAGAGGAGAGGGCGGGACAGAGAGAGGGGGGCGTGTGGGAGGGCAGGGAGGAGAGGTGCGGGGAAAGGGGAAGCGGCGGAGAGAGGCGTGTTACTACTATCACTGGGAGACGTGTTACTGATGTTCCAGGTTGATGGTTACTGTACCACTATCCCTAGACCAGCTTTAACACAAACCAGACGTCGATTTTTGAGTCGACTAGTCTTGTGACATAATTCTCAGCGAGCTGAGTCGACTCAAAAATCGACTCATCAAAGGCCTTTGAATCCAATACTCCCTTAGGTGCTTCAATACTCGTGTCTTTGAGTCCACCCAACAATCACCCCTAAGGCCTCATTGTGCACCTTTGAAGGCGGTGGCGAGGACAGTGACGAATGAGTCGAAGGTGGCTGCTGGCTCGTCACACCCGGCGAGCTGACTTTCAAGTCCTTCGCCACAAAGGATCTGTGACTACAGAACCACTAAAGATCCCGCACCTTTGGATGTGGTAGTAAGGAGAGCACCTTTGAAGGCGGTGGCGAGGACGGTGACGAATGAGTCGAAAGTGGCTGCTGGCTCGTCGCACCCGGCGTCCCTCGCCCGCTGCACCATCTGCCGCTTCACCCGCTCGAAGCGCGCCTTGCGCCCCTCCCTGCTGCCACGCTCCTCTGCGTGTGGTGGAAAGAAGAGGCAGGAATGCAGGGTGTTGCTGTTTCCACCACATGCCACTTCAAATGCTTGGAAAATCGTGAGAAATGTGAGAATTCGCAGAAACGTGGTCCAACAGTGGAAGGAAGAGTGCAGGGCTATATGCGACGAAGGGATAAGGCCCACTCACCAATGGGAGGAGGAGATGAGGGGATTCGGCGAGTCTGGTCGATGAGTCGAATGAGCGTGAGGAAAGAAGACCTGTGAGGTTAGGAGACACCCAAGGGTTCATGGTGACAGTTAACAAGACGATAAGCACTGTTAACATTCTCTGAGTCGTCTCAAAAGGCGAGTCTGGTCTGGTCGATGAGTTGAATGAGCGTGGCGAAGGAGGATCTGTGAGGAGACACCCAAGGGTTCGTGACGATAAGTTACACAAGGATACGAACTGTTACGACGGTTTAGAGGGAAGTTGGCAAGAGAGGTGGCAAGAGAGGTGACAAGAGAGGTGAGGTAGGACTTAAGCTTCAGTCCGTCAAGCATCTTGGGGGCAGCAGATGCTTGTAATGTGATAATGTGAATACGCCAGGATGTTTTTGAGAATTCTCAAAAACACCCGCCAGGATGGAAGTTCATGGGACGCGTAATCAGAAGTGAAAGGGAGGAGTGGAAAGGCGAGAAAGGAGCGGAAGGGATGGGGCGGGAAGGGACTCAAACGGAAGAGAAGAAGGAAAGCAAGGAAGGAAGAAAGAAGAAGACGAAGAAGAGAACAAGCATGGAAAGAACGGAGGAAAAACAGGGCGGAAATGGAAGAGGGAGGTCGAATTCGAGAATTTCCAAAAACGACCTGCAAAAACGTGGACGAGAGAGGGGACGAGAGAAGAGACGAGATGCGAGAAGAGGAGAGGAGAGGAGGGAAAGGGGGGGTGAGAAGAAAGGCGGGCAGAGGAGGGGAGGGCGAAGTGAAAGCACGCACCTATCCACGAGCGCCACGCGCACGCCAGAGTCCTCGGCCACCTTGACTGCTGTCATCATGTCATAGCCGTATGGCACTCCCAGGAGCTGTGTGGGGGGGAGTGGGTTGGGGGGGGGGACGGGTGGGGACCACTGTGACTCCCGAGCACACATCAGAGTCTTGGTGACAGACAGATGCACGCCAGAGTCCTCAGCCACCTTGACTGCTGTCATCATGTCATAGCCGTATGGCACTCCCAAAAGCTGCCAGCAGGTGTGGTCATAATGGGGGGGGTTGAGGAAGGGAGAAAATGAGGAGGAAGGGAGAGAGGGAGGGAGGGAGGGAGGGAGGGAGGGAGGGAGGGAGGGAGGGAGGGAGGGAGGGAGGGAGGGAGGGAGGGAGGGAGGGAGGGAGGATATTGGCATGTGGACCCCCACTATCTTTGACATAAATGAGATGAGAACAGAGTGATGTTTCCTCAGGCAACGCAATCTTTCCTTGCCTAAATCGTTTACCAGAAATACCCTGACCGCATCGTGTATTATTCCCACCATAAACATCCACCAGCATACTCACAGCACCACGTACAACCCACCCACACCCACACCCACCCATGCTCCCCGCACAGCCCACTCACGCCACAGCCGCACCCGACCTACAGCCCGGCAGCAGCAGAGACCCACACACACACCGCATTCACAGCAGCTGCACAGCACCCTCGGCCCACCACACCACTCGCACAGAGGTCATCCCTAGAGAATTACGCACAGCGGAGACGAAGCTGCCCTGCAGGTTGAAGAAGAGCGAGAGCGACCCCATCTTGGCCGAGTACATGGCCCTCAACGCCTGGGGGGAGGGGGGCGAAGGGATACACACACATGCACGCACGCACGCACGCACGCACGCACGCACCACGCACACAGGCACACACAGTGCGAAAAATTGTGCTGTGAACGAAGAGTGACCGAAGAAGAGCGAGAGCGACCCCATCTTGGCCGAGTACATGGCCCTCAGCGCCTGGTGGGGGGGGTGGGGAGGAGGAGCAACGGCTCAATTTGGCGTGGGGAGCGGGGGAAAGGGCGGGGAAAGAGCAGCGGAAGGGGTTAGGAAAGTGGATGGGGGAAACTGGGAGAGGAGGGGTGAGGGAAGAAAGGGGAAACGGCATTGGTGGGGAGCTTGGCTGCAAAGTCTAGAACTCATGACACCGTAACTGTTTATTTCTAGAGTATGACTCTAGCAAACGGATCCAATCGGTTTCCGCCCGCAGGAGCAACCCCTGCTGTAGTCCTGCAGTCGCCACCCCTGCAGTCGCCACCCGTCCCAGAGTCACTCCTACTGTAGATTGAACTCGGACAAGAATCCACGGCCCGCCCACCTTACAAGGCTCACCTTAAAGACCGTCTTGGGCGGGTCGCTGGGCCTATCGCCCGCGAGGATCGCCATGATGTTCTTGAGCCGCTCACGGTCGAGCTGGTTGGGGGGGGAGGAAGCGGGGGAGGGTGCATGATGCAATGAACGCAAGGAGGATGAGGAATGCGCATCGTTAGCATCCCCGCCTCACATCAATGTGAATCCACGTCTTCTCTTGTTAAACATTTCACATGATAGCGCACATCTACGTGTTCCCACAACGTACATTCTTCTTCATCCCCGGACGTTCCTAAGACGTACCTCCACAGCAAGAATCTCCGGTTGAACCGCCGACACCACGCGCTCCACGTCCAAACCTGCCTGCTTCGACACGTGCGCCGATCCTACGATGTAGGCTCGGTGGCCCGTGCCAGGATCCTCCAGAATCACCAGATTCTCCGCCGTCTCCGGCGGCAGGTTCAATCCCGCGTCCTTTCCGCTAATGAGCACCGCAGGCGGCTCGCCATTACTGTAGGTATCCGGTGCTGCCTGGATCGCAGCGTCGCCGTTGGTTGCGGAGGGATCGTTTGCCCATGGTTCCGCATCTACGGAGTTAGAATCCAGCAGTCCGTTGGCCATAGAAAAAATCGGAATCTACGATCGACGAGGACTGGATCCTGAACGTAAACGTGAAATCCACGTGCAAGCCAATGACGTGGAATGTTATGACGTGACGACCTCTTGTACGATGTAACGTGAGTTGAGAAGGGAGGAAAGCTAGGAATTTAACGCGCATTGCGTAAGTGGAGATAGGGGCTAATTTGTAGAGCGGCAGGAGAAGCTGAATCGGGAAGAGGTGGGGTCACTGTGTGGTAACCCTTTTGCGAAACCGTTTAATGCGCTCGTGACAGTGGAAGGTTGGAGAGTCCACAGGCGCAAGTTGCTACGTCCTGGTCCTATTCGCGTTCAGCGAAGCTCAAGCGACGAAAATGAATTCGCAATATGTCATGCAACGAATAGCAGAGCGTGTACGAGCCACGTTGGCTATGCACTTGCTTGCACGCAAGCTTCGAAGCTGGCGGGAATGTGCACGACCTGAGGTGGCGTGCTTCAGGATGAGGTGGAATTGAAGGGCAGGTGAAGTGTAGGGGCCAACATCATAGCCAAGCGTGGTACAAATCATATATTTTATTAAACAAGAACGCGTTACTAGGGCAAATTGTCAATAACTCCAAAACTAAGGTATCGACGGTTTTGCATACAATTGCATAGGGTTACCATACTATATTGTGTTACAATCCCAAGTGGGACCTAGCAAAGGATCGCTCAGGGTTGATCGCGGAGTAGTGTTGCAGCGGAAGTTTGAATCTTAGGTCAGAGTGAATGTAAATGACTGAGTTTATAATAGCATGCATACATCGAGTTTATATAAGAGTACAAGGGAATACGAAAGGACCTAGACTAGCCATGTACTCTAAGGGGTACATTCCCTTATTACAACTGAATTCAGAAACCGTGCGGCGCGGGAACCTGTTCGAAACCTGTTCCCGCTCTTTTCACTTCAAATATGTCTGCCTGCATCGGTCTTGGTCTGACGGTTGCTGCGTCGCTTCGGCTCTTCTGACTCCTCAACTTCGTACTCGGTAAAGTCGGCTCCTGCAGCATACAGGAATGCCTTCTCATAAAACTTCACATCGTAACACTCCCCTTCATTCCTGGGTGCGGGTATAGCTGACTCGCTTGACTACTCCGGTGAGATCAGAGCAGTGCTTATACTGCTGACGTGGCAAAAGCTTGGTGAGGAAGTCTGCTGCCATCTCAGTGGTCGGGCAGTAAGCGAGGTCCACTTTGCCTTGGTCGATTTCGTCCTTGACGAAAAAGTACCGAAGCGCGATGTGCTTTGTGCGGTTCACGAATCCTAGCTTGTTCGCGATTTTGATGGCACTCTGGTTGTCACAGTGAAGGCGAAAGGTAGGCAAGGTTGGAATTTTCGCCTCCTGCAGCAGAACCTGCAGGTACAGGCCTTCGCGAACTGATGCTGTCGCGGCGATGTATTCTGCTTCAGCTGATGACAGGGCAACCAGCTCCTGCTTCTGGGAGTTCCAGGAGATTGGTCCAGTTGGTTCCAGACGAAAAACGAAGCCGGTTCGGGACCGTCGATTTGCAGGATCAGCTGCGTGGTCTGCGTCCACGTAGCCGTTGAGGTTGAAGGAGGGCGTCGTCAGCGTGGAGTAGGAGAGCCCGATGTCAGGTGTGGAGATGAAGTACTGCAGGGCGCGCTCCAAGTCCAGCAGGTTCTCAGCTACTGGCTTGCGAGAGTACTGCGCCAGTTGGCTAGCGATGTACGAGAGGTCGGGTCGGCAGGTGACAGAGGCGAATAGCAGGCACCCCAACTTCTGCTGGTAGATTTGTAGTCCTACGGGCGACAGAGGTTTGTTGTCTGGTTTGTAGTTGGTGCTCGGGCTGTGGTAGGGAGTTGAGAGTGGTGCGGGTGAGATGTTGAAGCGTTCCCCCAGCTGCTCTGCGTACTTGGAGGCTGACAGATGAATTGCTTCTGGCGCGTAAGTGATGTTTAACCCCAAAAACTGCTTTACTTCGAGGTTGATGGTGATGTCCACGCGCTGCACCAGGTTCTCCTGAAATTGGTCGAGGAGTTTGTTGCAGGTCCCCGTGTACAGTAGGTCGTCTACGTAGACTCTCAGGAGGATGTAATCGCCGCTGAAGTGGAGGCGATACATTCCCGGGTCGTGTGGGAGTTGTTTGAAGCCGATTTCGAGGAGGATTTTGTGCAGATGCTGCTACCAGAGTCGTGGCGCCTGTTTGATCCCGTAGAGTGACTTCTTCAGTTGACAGACCTTGGGATCACCTTCTCCGTAGGTGTGCGGCTGCTCCACAAAGATGGTGGCATCCACCAACGCGTACAGAAACGCGTTCTTCACGTCGATCTATCGCAGTGGTAGGTGCTTCGCGGCAGCAATAGTGAGTAGAATCCGGACCGAGGTATGGCGACTGACGGGAGCGAAGGTTTGATCGAAGTCTATGCCGTGACGCTGGTCGTACCCGCGTACGACCCAACGTGCTTTGAAGCGCTCAATAGTGCCGTCAGCGTTAGTTTTGAGACAAAAGACCCATTTCCCGCTGAGCACCCTCCACCCCTTCACTGCTGCACGATCGACTAGAACCCAAGTGTCGCGCGATTCCAGTGCTTTCAGTTCCGCATCCATCGCAGCACGCCACTCCTTGACGTGTGGGCCGGTTAGCGCCTGGCGAGGGTTCTTAGGTTCCACGGTCCGCGCGAGAGTAGAGACGGACGTGTGCAGGCCAAGAAGTTGAAGGCCTGACACGTTGGTGGTGTCTGCATTGGTGGGGACTTCAATCACGTCGTCATCTCCGCTCTCGTAGCCGGGTGGTGCGATGCTTGGTTTTGTCTGGCGCCGTGATGGTCCTGGCGCGGGGTCGTCATCGTTGTCATCGTCATCGTCGTCGCGCGGGCGAGGGGGGAGGCTGGGATGTTCGTCGGTGTCGTCGCGGTCCAGAACTGCTGCTGCTGCTTCATCTTCAGGGGTCGCGAAGCTGCGGCCGCTGTTGGTGTAGCCGCGTGCCTGGTTACGGCGTTCGTCCTCGATCCACTGCGTCAAGGGTAGCCGTTTCTAGAAAAGAATGTCACGCGCAGGGACAATTTCTTGATTGTCCATGTCAAGGATGAGCCATCCTTTGTGCTCGTGGCTGAGTCCTAGATGAACTCCCCAGCGTGCACGATGAACGAACTTGCCGATTGTGGCCGAAGTGGGCCGATACTGCACCATGCACCACCAAACCCTCAGCATGGAGGGATCTCCCCTTGCACCGGTCCACTTCATGTGGGGTGACAGGTTATCCCTGTTGGCGGTGGTGGAAAGGAGGTTGTGCAGGCGCACCGCGTGATTCATGACGTACGGCCAAAATTTCTTTGGCAGGCCGGACTGGTTCATGATGGCGCGAACTTTAGTCATGAGGGTCCGATTGACCCGCTCAGCAAGGCCTTGCTGTTGGTGAGCATAGGGAAGGGAAATCTCATGCTTAATCCCCTTCTCGGTGAGCACGCTCTCCAGTTCATGGCTGCGAAATTCTTTTGCCCCATCACTCTGCCAGATCTTCAGTTTCCTACCCGACTGTCGCTGCGCGTGCGCGAGGAAGATACGGAACACCTCCGGGGCTTTGGAGTGGGCGTCAACATTGGCAACCCACACGTGGCGTGAGTAGGCGTCGATGAAGGTCAGCGTGTACTTTTTGTCGTTGAGTCCGTCGCAGGTGAGTACGATGAAATCGCTGTACACCTTTTCCAATTTCTTGTAGCGGTTGGTGCTTGGCTCCAGAGAGGGATAGGCAGTGTGAGAGAGTGCGGCTGTAGGGCAGACAGTGCAAGTGGTTGGATGGGGGGTGGTGTGTTGCAACTCCGTCCCGTCGGGGCGCAGCAGTGCTCCTGGCGGAAAAACTTTTGCACGGAGGCAATTAGCGAGTTTATGGCGCGAGGGGTGTCCCATCCGCTGGTGCCAGAGGTCATCTTCGGCACGGATGCCGGAGGTGCGCTTGTAGCGGGTGTGGTACTGTGCTGCCTCCTCCGCTGTGAGTTCTGGGATCTAGAGTGGGGGTTCTTCCTCTTCTTCTGGTTCTGCTTCGTTGTTCTCCTCCTCTGCTTCTGCTTCTGTCGTTGCTTCCCCTTCTGCAGGTGCCGTTGAGAGATACAGGGTGAGAAATTCGCGATCGGGAATGATCGTGAGCGGGGTCGTGGTGCCTTCGATGAAGCGGGCGTATGGATCTGGGCGGAAGATTGGACCGAGTGAGTCTCGCGGAGGTGTTGGCGGTACATTCCCCTCCTCAATCTCCGACCAGGGATCACGCCAGTGATGAGGTGAGCGAGGTGGTTCGTCAGTGCGAGGGGGTCGACCGAGGGGAATGGTTACTCGAGGTGAAGCTTTGCCGCACTCAGCTTGTATTTCTTGTTTTGCTTCCTCCTATTCCTCTTGCATGAGCTCCCCTTCGTCAGGCTCGTTGTTTCCCCATCCTCCTGTGGTGACCGTGCCGGTTCCCCATGCTCCAGTTGAGGTTGCGCCTTCTTCTGGATCAGCGGGCTCGTTGCCCCATCCTCCGCGCGCAGAGTCTGGGTCCCATCCTGCCGCGATGCGCTCCTCATACAGCTTCTGCCGCTTCTCCGCTTGGGCCTTCTCCTGTTCTTCCTTGACGCTCAGCTCCTCTGGTGCGTCAGGATCTTTCCAGGCAGGGTCAATCTCGCGGCGGTAGACTTCGCGAGTGTACGGGCGCGGACGTCCTTCTTCGTCGAGAGTGCGCGTGTTGGCTTCGAGGACGAATCGTAGGGTGTCCGAGTAAGGCCTTGGTCTCTCCTTCTGTTCTTGGCCGAATTTCTTGCTTGGCTCACCGAATATGCGGTATGATGATATGGCGAGTTCTTCTTCAGTCATGCCTGTTGGTTCTGTCTCAGCGCTTTTTGCTTCCTGAATTGCCGCTTGCTCCTTTTCCACTTGCTCCGTTCGACTTGCGGTTGGTGTGTGACAGGTGGTGCACAGTCCGTGGGCGTCAGGTTCGTGAAGATTGATTTCACGCGGGTGAGGGCTTCGGCGAACCCATGGTCTTCCATCCGG